GTCCATCCATCCATCCATTTCCCCATCCATCTTACTTCCATTCATCCATCCCATATCCATTCATTCCACCATTTATGCATCTATTTAACAGCCTTGTTTCATCCCATTCATCCTAGACTCTAACCATCTATCTATCTTAATTATGCTCTTGATATAATAAATTCGTGTTTTGTATTCTAATGCTTGACAAGGCTGCCGAATTTAACAAATTTTAATGTATTGAATTCATAATTAGCCCTCTCAAACTCATTGTTTTCTTAGCCAAGCGGTGGAATCCTTATCTATAAATTTTTCCTTTAAAGTAGTCGTCCACTTATCTCTCCACGAAATCTAACGTCGTCTTACTTTGCTTTCTTCGTCTCAAACGATCAGCAATCTTCCCGATCCCTTGTTGTCTACCCATCTTCCTATCCATTCCTCAACTTATTTTTTCTCATACATACCTATCCAGAGCTGGATTAACCTGATCTCTAAGTTGTTTAGTCAACTACTCATTCGTCCGCCCATCAAGCATTCCTTTGTCTGAATGTTGACCCATTCCTTCAGCCGACATTAATTTTGTTTCATTTTCCAGTGGCTAGGATGTTTCACGAGATGTCGTTGAACCATGAAGGTGGGTTATTTGACTTTCGACCTTCCCTTCAATTGCTTGATGATATTGGGTGACCTATTTTATGAAGAATTATTGCTATTGCGTCTACTAGGAGTGTGACCTTAAGTAGCATTACCTGTCATCTGGGGAACGATAAACCAACGCCGTCTAATGGGAATGTCGCTCTCACCCTCTCCCCTTGTGTGTTCTTTCAATCCACCGTCCGCTGGAATGTAAACTCATTGATATTCACTTTATTTGCTACCTCCTTGAACCTTTTGTTGAAGTGAATGGTACTCTAGCGTAAAAATCTCCCACAGCTTGAAACATTTACAAGTCTGTTACTAACAAGACTTGGGGCTTAGTTTGGTCTCAGGAAGCCTCTCAATCACAAATCAACGCCCCACTTGGAAAACAGATGCTTATTTTTCTTGACATTACTTCATGTCATCCAAATACTAGCCAGTAATGATATTTAATTAGTTAATGCCAACTTTTTTTCCAGTTGATGAACCACTTGCACTACTGCTTATTTGCACTATTAGTAGCCATCTTCCCCTCCATAGCATTTCATCTTAAGTTCATTTATTACTGTAGTTCTGGTAGAAGTCGAAGGTAAGACCCTTTGGCTGAGCATCGTTTGAAAAGGCTTACTTCTGCTCTGCTATTTTGACTATTCTAATGCACTTTTAAAATTCATGTGTTTGTTCTTCTATTTATTTAAAAGTTGCCTTTTCCTACCCCCCCCCCCCCCCCCCCATAGCCCAACAGCAGAAGAAAAAACTCTTCGCTTGCTTTATTCATATAAAGATAGGGTCTTTATCGGTAAGGGTAACCTCACATTTGGCTTCTGCATTGTAAAGTTGTTTTTGATAAGGTGTTACTTGTTCAATGACAAGTCTTTCTTAATCAGGAAAGTCCTTCTACTAATTAGCGAGTTCTTCGTCTTTTATTCCTCCTTTTGTTTTCTGCACGTCTGCTCCTCACAACTTCTCATTCGTCATCCAATACAAATTTTTAAGCTCTCTTTTGATCCCCTTGCAGGGCACAATGGAGTCAATTGTCTCGGGTGCTGTTGTGGGTATCCTCTACGCCCTCTTTGCTGGCCAACCGCTAACAATCATGGGTAGCACCGGTCCCGTTCTTATCTTTGAAAGCATCATCTATCGCCTGTGCGAGTGAGTTCTCCACACTGATCTTGTGAAGTAGTGGTTCTATGTTTTAGCCTTTCTTTTATGCTTTACGTGGTGTGCTTTGGGTGTGTTTGCCCGCGGTTACTTCAATTCAGTATATTCTCATGTTCCGTTCCCCCTACGGTGGGTTTGTGTTCCCACCTACTTAATTAGGCATGTTAAGTAGTATTGTAATAGTCATTTGGAAGATATTTTAGCCTCTTGCAATGCAGGTCGGTGCCAAAACACAATCTCCTCCCCGTCATAAGTCTCCTCGAGTCCAGCAGACTCCTTCCAAGTAGTGCTGTACGAGATTTAAGTAGCAATCTCCCAGTTCACCTGCACAAACTATCTACATCCTTCACCGAAGTGCTACCCACAAATTGTGCTTTTTGCACAGATCAAACCGTTGGTCCTATCTCTCCTTCCGTTTCTGGATTGGCATGTGGGTCACATTAATCCTCTTCATCATGGTTACCTTCGATCTCTCCGCTCTGGTTCGGTTTATTACTCGCTTCACGGAGGAGTCCTTCGCTCTTCTTATTGCGTTAATTTTCATCTTTGAGGCCATCAAGAAGACCTACTCGATCGCCTACAAATATCCTGTCAATCTGTGAGTTGGAGAGGCTAAAAATTAGCTCTTACTTAAGCTGTCCCGAGTAGTAAGTATTCATCTATTCTTTAAGTCGATGGAGGCCCTTCTTCGCGCCTCCGAATAATTGCACTTGCATAAAAACGAGCAACTTCACAGATGCAGAATTGCTGGAATATGCACGTGAGAAGTACCCAATCCTCGACTTGCCCTTCGTCGGGACCAATGACACGGACGCGCACCATCACCTCAACGAGAATGGGGTGAGTGGAGATGCAACTCTTACTCCCATCTTGTGTCTGTAGTGAGGTGGGCTATCGGAAAACCTTACAATTTTCCACCTAGACAATCGACTGGGACAAACTGAATAAAAATTACTACAGTTGGGAATCAATGGAGGCCCAACGACAATGCGAGATCCTTCGCGGCACGTGGAGTGACAAGGCGTGCAAAGGATTCTACTCCCCGGATATCTTCTTCTTCTGTATCCTCCTGGCTCTTTTCTGCTTCTTCCTCTCCTATGGTCTGCGAAGTCTGCGGAATTCACGTTTCTTTCCGTCTCGTGTGAGTTTACTTATAGCTTGTGTCAAGCCAGTTATGCCGTGGAATAAAACATCTATACCAAGGCCTTCTATACTAATCCACTGTTGCTTGTTTGGAAGGGTCGGAGAAGAGATTTTGTGGAGCTCAATTCTTTCGTATACAATCGTGTCCATTCAGTCATTACTTGCTCAAGTCATTTTTCCACTCACCTGTGTCATGTCACCCATCCTCGCTTCCGTCCATCCACTCATCAACCTGCCTGAGATGCGAATATTCATCCATCTACCTCTCCATTCATACATTATTTTACTCACTCATTCAATCACCCATTGGTTCTCCCACCTATCCTTCTACCCGTCCATTCATCAACTCATCTACTCAAAATGCTTATTTATAATTAGGTTTGCGATTACCTCCATCTGGTGTGGTTGTTTTAACGAATTTGAACTTTCTTAATGCTTGATTTGGTGTCTTTGATGTTTAAACATCTTTTACTTCCAGGTCCGTTCTTTGATTTCGGACTTTGCGGTGCTCATTGCCATCGTTATTTGCAGTCTCATCGACTTCTTTTGCGGTCTCCACACACCAAAGCTCCTCGTGCCTGCCACATTTGAACCCACACTCGGTTACAATGTACGCATTTCAATATGATACTTAATCACTGGCATAAGTGGACAGTTTTTTTTTCGTTACTCCTCTTGGGTTTATTTTCTTACCTAGAAAAAGAGTTGTGATAGACAAGAAAATGGCTTTGGAGAGGCGCTTTAATTTCTCGATTTATTTATCACAAAAAACTCGATTTTATGTGGCCTTTCTCCCAATCTCCCTCGCTGCCAGTCTAGCAGAACTAGTTGCAGACTCCGTATGCTTACTGACCTCTGCAATGAACTCACTGCAGAATAACAATGGTAATCTTTGCCAAAGCATAGTGGAAAAATGGCTTCCCCTTCTGGGGGGGACGGACGGCTGAAACCGTAGGAACTACTTCAAGCTCAGTAGTGAAGGGATATCGGATTCGACTCAACTGAACTGGGCTATTAAATGAATACTTGGATATTGTGAAGGCCTTATAGCTACTCACACTACAAATGGCTGAGATTAGTGCAGAGAGGCAGTTAGGCGCTATTCAAATGACAGTAGCGTGAGATGGCCGCCGACGCGAGATGCTACGTTGCCACGATACTTGGTTAGCATGCAAGAAGTGCTCGTCGGAGAGCATCATCCACCCTGTGGCACTGACTTCCAGGCGAAACCCTCCTTTCTTAGCCGCACTTCCCCTTATTGGACCACTCGAACCCTCGAGACGACCAAAACAGAAGATTGATCGCTATGAGAGCTGAGGGGAACCTTCAGGAAAAGAGGAAAGAGAGGGCTGTTTCGTCGTTTTATTCCCCCCTTTCCCTTTACATCGTCTCCCCGCCGATGGTATACGCATCTGGCATCAGTCTTCTAACCCTTCTATGCGCCTTTAGCAGAACTATTCTCAGATTGGGGTGTCTTGTGGCACCTCCAGAGGTCGCTTTGTAGAATCTCATGTGTTCAGTCATTTGGAAGTATTTCTGCTCTCGAAATCACCGAAATTTTCTATGTAATAATCCACAAGGGGAAGTGTATGTCAGTCTTTCAAGGATACGTAATCGCTGAAAGTCTAGAATCCAACCTTCTCCACCCAACTATTCATCTGCCGAATTGTAGAAACGTGGTTGGATAATTTCACCCTTCAATGGGAATCCCTGGTGGTCCGCTCTGGTTGCCGCTGGTCCTGCTCTTCTGGCGGTTATTTTGGTCTTCATGGATCAACAGATCACCGCTGTCATTGTCAATCGACGCGAAAATAAACTGAAGGTGCGAACTTCAAAGAGGCCGCCTCCCACAGGCATCCATTTGCATGCGCAACACTACTTCTCAATGCTTTCTACTCCTTTTTTGTTTGTAGAAGGGACCCGGTTACCACCTCGACCTGTTGATAGTGACAATCACGATAGCGGTCAACTCAATACTCGGCATTCCCTGGTTCGTGGCAGCCACCGTGCTGTCCATTAATCACGTGATTTCTTTAAAAAAAGAATCCGAATCGGCAGCACCGGGTGAGCGGCCCATCTTTCTGGGGTGTCGAGAACAACGTGTCACGGGATTTTTCATCTTCCTCTTCATTGGTCTCTCTGTCTTCATGTCCTCCATCCTTCGCGTAAGTGCCGCGTCATCATCCGCTCCGTTGAACAGTCAATTACTGTATCTCTCCAGTCTGAATCCATCCATCTGCTCATTTTTTCGATCCTCTAGCAATCAGTCACTTCACTCGTTTCATTTTCATGCTCTTTTTGACTTTCTCGTTGATCAACAGCGCATCCCCATGGCAGTGCTTTACGGTGTCTTCCTCCTCATGGGTATCACCTCGCTGAACGGTCTCCAACTGATGGAGCGCGTTGGACTCTTCTTCACACCAGCCAAATACCAACCTGACTACACCTATCTGCGGTTAGTTTGTCTACACGGATGGGCTTTCCAGATGTGTCAAGTACTTATTTTTTATATATTTTCTGTGTTTTTTCTCCCCTCCATTCAGTCATGTGCGTTTGGGTCGGGTTCACTTATTCACGGTCATACAGGTGTTGTGCCTTATCCTCCTCTACGTCATCAAATCTGTTCCTCAAATCTCCATCCTCTTTCCTCTGATGGTACGTCCCCCCTCCCTCTCCCCCCTGCCATCTTATCACACCTTTCTGAGGTGGATTGCATGAGAAAATGCCAGCAATCATTCTTTTAGGTGCTTGCAATGTGCTTTGTGCGTCGTGCGCTCGATTTTATCTTCACCCAAGAAGAACTGTACTGGCTTGACGACATTCTTCCCGACAGTTCGTGTTCTCGCAATCGCAAGGCTATTTCCACCGGCCCCGATCGTCGGTATCCTTCCACCAACGACTTCAGTAGCAAGGTTAGTCGATTTTTTTACATCTTTATTCCTAAAACAACACCTTACAATAAATCAAGCATTGTGGTGATTTCAGGATTCCCTGCCGCTCTCACAGCCTATAATGCTTAACACGGAGGAAAAGGTTGGTTCTTCTTCCTTTTTTTTGCGTCGGCACTGGGTTAAATTGTCTTCATTTGTGTGGAAATGATTTAACTTTGTTGTAACCCTCCTCCAGATCGAACAGGTAGTTGACATGTTTGTGTCAAGTTTCACCTTGCGTGGTTCCTTTTCTTCCACAAAACCACTATTTTATTTCAACTTCCCCCCCCCCCCACATTGTAGCCTTTCAGTGTTAGTGAGGAGGTCTCGAAGACACTGATTTGGCGACAACTCTCGGGCATTGGATTGGTCGATCAAGGCGGTGATGATGAGAGTAGGAAAAGGTGAGTTCCTTTTTGGAATGTGGTATCCATTCCTTCCTGTCGCCTTGCTTCCACTTTCAGTGCTGTCCAAGCATCTACATGTGCGTGATGAGTGTGAAGGAGGTTCTATTTCTTTATGCTATTTGCGTAACATGCCGTAGCAGCTCCATTAGGGACCTTTTTCGAAATCATCCAGCTGCGCTTTTGCTTCGACTGCTTGTCGGGGGGACAGGGGCTTCGATGACTCTTCTCTCATGAGCCTCCTGGGCATTAAGCTCGGTCACGTTTAGCTTTCGTGTCCAGTCAAAGAAGTCTGAGTCTGGGTGTGTTTGAAGCCGGGTTTAGCTGTCTACTGATAGCCAAAATTTGCCATATTTTACTAGTCGACGTGACCGCAAGAAGAAGGAGAAGCGACGTCACCATCGCAGTGGTGGCGGTGGTGGCTACAGCAGCGGCAACGAGACGAGTGATTCACATCGCGGCAGCGGTAGCGGTGGTGGTGGTCGGTTCCGTGCTCTGCGTCTCTTTAGTAGTGACTTTGATGGAGCTATTGGGCGTGATATTGCCGTTCTCTTCCATGCCAACGAGACGGAATCGGCGGGAGGGGGAGCAAGTGCAACAGCGACTACACCACCGCCACCTCCTTCTACTGCTACTACTACCACTACTGTTACTACTCCTCATCTGCCGGCACCGGAGATAAAGATTAATCCACCATCTCACCAAACATCACCATCGGCTTCACGACGAAATTCGGGTGCATGCTAGACGCCATATCTGTCCTGCCAACAAGTCATCAACACCACCACCACCGCCACCGCCAAACCAACCCACCAGCCATCTAATCACTCTCGCCTCCTTTCTGTGCTCAATCGATTGCTCCCTCCGACCGTCGGTCACTACGGGTGTGTACTTGTCCCTTTGCCCAATCGATTGTTAGCCGAAAGAAATTGCCTCCATTCCTCCTCTGTGTACGCTCATTCTTTCGGAGACCTTCCCTTCCCTGCCCCTCCCCTCTCACCACTTAGATGAAGCAGACCGGTTTAGTAGTAGTTACCGTGTGTGCGTGTATGTGTATACGCGTGTGTTCACGCTGTCTACCTTCGCTTCCATTCCATTGCACCCTCACCATTTAGCCTCGCTTCTTTCCCCCCTCCCCTCTTCTCCTTCTTACCTTTCATCTCCTTTTGCCATAAATCCACGCTCCATTTCTTATTCCATTCTGCCCCGTTATGAGGGGATAGAAAAGACGCATACACATCGAACTACTTGCCTGCCCACCTTACTTACCTAAAAAAAGAGCAGTTACCCTGCCAATCTATCCACCTTTAGTAGAAAAGAGGTATGACAAATGCAGCCTCCTTTTGTGGTTTTCGGTCCAGCTGATGGGGGAAGTGGTCGCTCGTGGGCTCGTTGAGGGCATAGTTTGTGTCGTCTTATCGCCGTGTAGGATCGTTGTAAATTATGCCCCAATTATGAATATTTTAAGTTCTTCCTAGGTCAGAAGTCGGGAGTGTGGACCTGTCTGGTTCCAGTCGGGCTGGGTGCTTTTAAGCGTGGGGGCCTCAGTGTGGTGAACGCTTGAGGATGGGACTGGGTTATGAGTTGAGTGTTGGTGTTTAGATTATTCCGTATATTCGGTTCCAACATTATATCTCGGTATTAAAGAGCCATTAAGTAGATATCAAGAGTCCTCAGCAATTGTAGAGTTGGCAAAATTTTATAGCTTGTAGGGAGTTGCGTTGCCTGATCCACCGTTTCTGTATAAGTCCTTCTCGATTATCAGTAGAGTGACCAGCGGTGGAGCGTTTAGAAGGAAAGGTAGGGTAACTGGTAGTAATCTGTGTACAAAATCCAGGATTTCGAAATTTTTAGCCTTAGTGAAGACTGCAGTGATTAATACTTACTCCGAATAATAGTAGAGTCCGATGCATAATAAGTGGTGAAAAGGCTTCCACTAAGTATAAACTAAGGTAAAAAGACCCAAAAATAATGTGACATTTGTAATTTGCAGATTTAAAGCATTTTTATAACTTGCTAACCACCTTATTTGTTTACATTACTTGATTTTTACTGAGGTCGACCTCAACTCGCAGGTGATATATCAAATAGATGACAATGCGACCAATTAAAGTGATAATATCCCTAACATTACTATCATTAATAAAAGAGTATTCAGCCATTATATACGAGGGCAGTCTTTATCACGACAAAGTAATTTTGATAACCCCTCCTCACCTTCTAGGAATTAAATTACCTCTCACGATTTTGTTACCACAAACATGAAAGTCTCCTTAGGTTTGAAATTGTCTACCCAGAAGTAAAACTATTTTTGTACCTTCTTAAAGTATAGATTTTGGGCTTAGTATTCTTAAATGCTTATTGGAACGCACCGGAGATATGGGACGTTGCATACACTTCGCGGATGGTTTGACAGATCAGGATTTGAGTTACATGAATACTTTCTAGACATGTGACGAAAAACTCATACTTTTGCAGAATTTTTCTCCCAATCAAAAATTTTCACTTTCCGCTGAAGAGAGTAGCTGGTGCGAGCACGTTGACCTCAGAAACTTTGCACATCCCTTTGAATTACCCGATTTTCATGAAGCTAAAAGTGGTATAGTGGAGCGGATGGTGGAAATCGACCCTCGTTATCGAAATCACTCTCGTCACGACTTTCCTCGTCAGCTCTACACTTTTCCTATAGAAAGTCATCACTCAAGCATTCTTCAGTCCGTCTATTCACTCTACCGTTCCGACTCTAGTGTATCTCCCAACTGGGTTTACTGTAAATCGCCCGACATTACGTTTACCCCAGGAAAAATTTCCTGGTTTTTCTTTGCTCTAGATAGTTGCGAAACAAAGGTAACTGTTACTTGTTATCTCGCATATCCATCAGTTTCAGGAACCATTTAAGGAAAATGGGAGAAAAATCTATCCACCGGTATATTACCGCCTTGAAATGCAAAATGGGAAAGGCAGTGGAAATTTGTTCAGAAGGCATTTTTCCCTCGACGATTTCGGTGTCTGAAACTTGTTTTTCCTTTTTCTGCTTTAGTGTTTATTTTGTTTTTAATGTTTTTACAATTGTAGGCAGTTTGGAGACCGTTCTGATTTTTTGGGTGGCTTCAATCGGAATACTTTTTATCGGTGGTTGGATATTGAGTAAGGCAAAATGGATCTAAAAAAATGCCTTTCATGCTCTTTTTTGTTAAAAATTCCTGATTTGCTAGAAGCCTGCATTGTGCGCGATTAGGTGTACACACCACACTATCACTTTGGGAATCTCCTGCTTTTTACTTTTTTGACATAACCAGACAGTAAAGAGAGGTCTTTTATCAATCTCATTAGATTTTAAGACATTATGACCCACTGATTTCATTAATACCTACTAACTTTAGTGTTAAATTTGGGTGCTTTTCTAAATTTTATCTTTGTCGCTTACCCATTGATACTTTTTTCCACCAGAGCTGGTTTCATTACAAATAATTACCTCTAAATTTACCCTTTTAATTATTTTGAGAGATACAAATTTTAAACGAATCTTATTTGACCAAAATAATCAGTTTCCTTCCTAGAGCTTTACCTGACACAAAAGAAGGTTTACGAAGAAGGTTGACCACTATGAAATTGATTTGATTAGGCGTACCACTAATTGCTTGCTCTTCTTGATTGTTTATGCAAACGAACGGATGGAAGGATCGGCGACTGATTTATAGAATCAAAAAAATTCCCGAAATAACTGAACACGAAGGTGGGATCGGTGAATGAGTGAATACCCTTATGAGTAGTTAGAAGAAAGGATAGAAGAAATGATAGCATAGATTGTTTGGCGAACGGACCGATGCGATTTGCTCCAAAGTTCTTTTAGGAATCAGAATGACTTCTTTCTCTATCACATTTTAACCGAATGACTTTTTTGGAACAACTATGATTAAATATACTAAAACTGCACCTAGAAAGAACGTACTAATATTTTCTGCCAGTGAGAGTCGCTGCTCCTCATTGCTACTGGCAGGAACACTCACCTACTGAAATTGCATACAAGTTGCTGAGCAAATTGGTTGCTCTTCTGCCTTGTAGTAACGTCCAAAGAAAAGCGCCATCTGCTATATCCACTGCTTCTCTTCTTCGGAGTATTTTTCTTCGCCTTTCTGAAGTGGCTTTTTGCTCTCATGTGTATGGGTCATCTGTCTAATGCTGGTCGAAGACTCCTGTGGTTGGAGATTACCAGTGAGTTTAAATTATTCAATATTTTTAAAATCCAAAAAAATCGAAAAAATATGCTTAAATGGGAGAAAAGAACCAGTTGTGGAGCAAATCTAATTTATTGGTGGATTGACTGGTTTCGTGGTGTCATGAGTCGATTCAATTAAGCTACTTTCAAATTGGATCACTCTGTATGTTAGCTTATTATAGAGACTGACGACAGAACTCTAAGTCACTGTCGTAGGAATCCAATTGCTGGAGACCAAGAGGACTCCTGTTGTCTAGTCTTTGTTCTTCAGACGAATAAGTTTTGCGTTTGTGTGTGAGGTGGAATGCATTGGGAACTGTTACTCAACCGATTGCCGGACGTTCCCATTCAAGGTCTACTCAAAATGGAAGAAGCTTGAGGTGTTCAATTAGCCTTTTGGTAAAAAAAATCGATTAGTCTTGAGTTTCTGACCGATTATTTACCTGTTCGCACCCTAAGTGCTACTTAATTACTACTATAAGTAGCTTGACCTCTTTTTACCACTTCCGTCGATTATAGGCGACATTATGGGTGGTACCGCCAATTGTGCCCTAGTGGCTTTATTGCTGCTTCTTGCTTCTGGCTACTGCATTGTTCACAGGGATCCCGGAAAGCGTCTGACAATTACTCTCCTAGCAACAGTCACCATTTATGGTCTCGTTCAACTGGCCTGTGGGATCACGACCACGCTGGTAGGTTAAAAAATATTTTTGCAAGGATTGGGCTACTTTTGTCCAGATTCCGAGTATCTTTATCTTAGTTGCTTTCCATTTTGCAAATTTTTCGAACTTTCGTGCTTTTCTATTCAGTCATTCACCCCGATTCCGTTCGTCCAGTGTGTGCTCTCTCCTCCATCTGTTCATGTATCTGTCTGCTCTAGCTTCAAACTCTACTAATCTAACCTCTTCCCCTTCCACCCCTTTCATTCATCCATCTCTGATCCACTCACTGATGCATTTATTGCGAGGTGTCTGCTTAGCGGTTCATTCATAGATAGCACAAGACAAAAAACAAAGCCCCACATCAGAACTTGTCAAGAGGGGTGGACTGCACAGTCACAAAGTCGAGTTGGCAAACCCTTAACAACTTGAAAGAGAGAGATCTTCAAAGTATTGTTTACAAGTGTGTTTGTTTGAGCCGATCACATAACGACGAAGCCACGGTCTGCAGTGTTTATGGGATATGTGGTATTTACAGTGTATGTATCTAAGCCGGTGAATATATTCGTAACTAGTGTCTTAACAACGGCGCATCGGAGATAAATGCTGATTCATTTGCAGTCCAAACTGTTTCTCTTTAATAAAAGTACAGTTTTCATGGCTCAGATAAGTCCCTGGACCCAGAAAACAGTCGTTCTGTTAGTTTCGTGCACGGTATCCAGACCGTTCAAATCTACTTAAAGAATTAAGCCAAAACAAGAGATAAAGCTTGTCTTGGAAAGCAAATTATTCCCCAATTAGTTGCTCAAAAGATATTGTCCTGATTTACTTTACTGAAGTGTGCAAGTCAACTTCACCTCATTCCCTACTTAATTCGGCTAATAATTTGCAGATTGTAGCATTTTACGCTTGAAAAGGCATATTTTTGGCTTACTGAGATGCTTTTGGCGTAGCGCATTTTCTTAATTATGAAATTTTTAAAATGCCGCGTGGTTACCGACCGCTACTAGCAAAAAATAAGTAGCATCGGCGGGCCATTGAAGTAAATTTAAACGGACATTGGTAGATGAGCAATAACCTCCAGATGAATATGACTTTACCATTCGAATTCGGCCAATTAACCCTTGATCAGTAATTACTGGGACTAATAAACCTGTTTGGCATGATATTGTTCATAAGAGGATATTTTGTTCGCCTTTTTTAATAAGAATGACTTAAGCAATGTTTTATAAGGCCAGGAGTTATGGGATTTACTTAAACTTCCTTGCTTCTTTAAGGCTTTTGATTCGGGTCGAGCTAAATATCGCTTCCAGTCACCGACGGGCTACACTTTGGTGACCCTGAACGTAGTTACATGGCTTGTTTTTCTATTGGTTGCAATGTACACTAACACTCATTGGCCAGCGAAACGCCTCTTCTACTTACAACTGATCTTCTTCTACTCAGCTTGGTGAGTTGCCTCTTCTTCTCGCCAACAATAACCTCGACTTGTGCCTAGGTTTTGGGTTTTGCCAATAATTCTTATCATTAATGGTGACTACATCGCTCTGTGGCGTCGTCTGGCGCTGCATCGGTCGATAGCAAGCACGGCTGACCTCGCGGCCCACGTGTACATTCTCGTGAGTTGCGTAGAGGAGACTTGCTTCCTAATTATTGCACAATGAGTAGACCCCATTTTTTTGTGTTTAGTATATCTTCTGGCCGACAAATTTGGCCCGAAATTTCATTCAAACTGATGCAACTGGGGAGGGAGATGTCACAAGTCTAACTCAAGTACCTCGAACCTCAGTTACGCCAGTAACAGTGCCGCCACTCACCACAGAGACAAAATCACCGCGAGGCAAGGCATCGAGAACTGAAGCGAATGATGGTGGCCAGGGTTCGTCAAAGCCTAGGGAGTCAAAAACGCCCGTAGAAACGCCACGAAAAGACGAAACACCAGACAAAGATGCCAAATCAAACTTTTTGAAGAAGTTGATGCAGTAAAGGCGGATCAGCGTAGCAAAAGGGGGCTACTGCCGATCGGACATTGGCAATTACACTCAATTAGCAGCACACACAGGGCTCAATTAAAAGGAGAAATTTATGCACCAAGGCGCACATTATATGCAGTAACAATTGTGGTTAAAATAAAAAGCCAATCACAGAAGTTTGGCTTATCTGGATTTTTAAAATGATTGGCCGGATTCTGGGTCCTTGGGGAGGGGAAATTATTGTCGACTTTTCGTGTGTATCTGGTGGGAAATCTGACCTCCCTACGGTTTGAGCCATGGAAACGCGGGGTCCCCCTTTGGTAATGGCAGATTTATTGACTTTTTCCCCTAATCAATAAGCCAATTATCTATGCGGTAGGTCCTAAATATCATCGATTTTTTCCCCACCCAGATCCTATCGGCAAAATCATCTGATTAACAGTATGAACCACCGTGGGAAATATCGATTTTTCACTTACCCAATAGAATTCCATTCAACTCAGCTGACCAACCAATCGGCTGGCCAGCTCAAGGGTAGACAATGTACTGAGTCAGGTGATTGGTTAGTAATATTTTTTCACGTCTCGTTTTTTTTCACAAAACCTAGTCCACTTCGACCAACCATGTCAATTAGATCTGTCAAATTAAACAATAAATATTGAATCCTTATTTTTTGTTTGCCTACTGGAAACGAATCAACTAAGACATCACAGTGAGCCCAGATTAAGTCAAATCGAGTCCCATTTGCCGAATTTTGAAATGACCTTCATGGTGGAAAAATGACGTCTTTTTTTGGTGCTTGACAATTTCAATCCACACTTTGCGGATTAATTGTGCCCACATGAAGCATATGATCACTTATCCCAAAGTTAATCAAGCAACTTCAATGGATCCACCATTGAAACCCCACAGGAAGATAAACCACCACAGCTCAGGAGTTACATTGCCCAGATAGTGGCATCACTTGTCCACCGATTCAACTGCTGCGCCCAACCTCTAACCAACGTATAAGCTTAATCAATCTGCTTAAGCCAAATTCTAAGGCCAGGAATCACCGTAGGCCGACAAGGGGGACAGGTCATCCACTTGTGACGCTCCGTGACACCTAATTTTGCCGATTTCTAAACTATTCTTTGTAAACAATACGAACATCAATTTAACGTATAAAAGTTTCCTCAAAAAATCTCCACACCGAACCGTCACCAAATGGTGTCATGAAAATCCCCCCCACATGGTTTTGCAGCCATCCAAGAGCTTGTTTCTTTTTTTTTCATTCAAAAGCCACAACATGTGCAACTTCACTCATTTTTTTTTTGAGCCAAAGGGAGAAAAAGACACGGGTTAACTCGGACACTCAAAAAATAAAATAGACCTCGTTAAGTTATTTAGTCACATATTTGGCTGCCTTGCTGGCTTATCTGCCCAATCAATCAACGAATCGTCAGTGAAGGAGAGGAAAGTGGGTAAGAACTGAAACAGAAAGAAACCACCACCTTCATCGTCATTGATGCCATCGACATTACGGTCTATGTTGACGAAGTGGTGGATGACGGAGAAGACTGCTTCCAAAGAGACTCCAGGGGTTTCTGCGCTCGCAGAACTCCATCTGTACAACTGAATGCGCATTGAATTTGTCCCAAAACTGTCTCATCATAGAGGGAGCGTGCAGCGTTCGCTTTACAGAAGGGCTCTGCAATTGGAAAAACACATGTAGTAAAACAGCAATTCCTTGACATGACCTCCGCCATCGCCACCATTATTTCGATGTCAAAACGCTTCAATACTAATCAACAACTCTCCTACAGTGGTAAGGCGATAGGCACTGAATTGATAAGCTACACTGGCGAAAGTGACAGAAATACATCCATAAAAGTAGACAACTAGCCTAATCTCCTCCCATAAACACGGAAATCTTGATGTCACAGATGAAAGACCATTAAAAGCGTTAAATTTCTACAAGCGCCCGAATTCTAGCATGGCAGATCGCTATTCTAACCGATTCCACAACGCCCTCACCCACCTTCAACAAAGATCTTGAAGGAGGCCGCAGTGTGTGCTTGTTCGTGGGGTGGAAGACACCGGATTGCCACATCGATGGGCAAGGGCTGGCCACAGCGAATTGAGATGGCCCACCGAGCAAAATCGAAGGTTGCATAGTAAGCTATGAAGCCGGCGAAGAGCTCACTTAACGTGGACGTGTTGGCACTGCACATCTCGTCCCAGGGTAGTTGTAAACGCATGTCTAATTCCTTAACTGGACGCTCGTAGTCGAAGATCTTCTGCAAGGGATAGAGAATCTAGATGAGTGATACATCCGTCTAGCAGTCTTTCAAACCACATTCACGCAGGCTACATTTCCCGGACAGAGTCCACAAATAGGGGGAATATCAGGAAGTACACAAATGCAGCACAACACATCCTCTAAGAAGTGTGGTCACAATTAAACTGGGATTCTGAAAGCCACACACACACTCGACAAAAATTACTCAAGCTCAGAGAAACCATTTCATCCAGTTTGTCCTCCAGCAAAAATAGTTGGTAAATGGAAATAGACCTTCCAATGCCAATGGCTTCCATAACCTAAATAAAGCAGTTCTGACCACTTTTGGACAAGAGAAAATAACATCGCAAACGGTGAAAAAGCCTACTCACAAGTTATCAGTAGGATGCACTCCAATTGCAAATAGTTTTTGAGCTTCAACAAACTACCCCTTGCTCTTATACTCAACGACTAAGGGATAGAGAACTTACAGGGAAGCGAGCTTGCAGATTTGGTAGAACAGGAGGCGAGCATCCACACTGCAAGAATTGGATGAGCATCAAGAGTAGGGGATATGTAGAAAGCCGGCCACGGCTACCATCATGGACGTCCATCTTTTGCGCCCAGTGCTTCACAAACACGCCGAGAGGACGCAACCGAGAGTCGACTATTAACGAAAGAACCCATACTTATCAAGTTCGCTTCATCGATTAGAAGCACGCCCCAAACACACCAAATAAGCTACTGGTCATCTTCTGACCCAACGTAAACGTGGTGTAACTCATCATCATTCATCGATGTACTTGCGGCTGCACGACCAAGCACAAAAATGCATTAAGCAACATGTGTGGGCCTAATGGGAAGCGCCTTCCAGTACCATGAAATAGGCATAAAACGGCAGTCGGTAGCTAACTACAAAGATGGTGTAAGCAGCATAAACTCCTCACCAACACAACAATATCCTTTGTAAAAAATGCAGTATTCAGTTCATGAAGAGAGGCCTCAAAACTGGCTAGTCAAAACAACAGACATCATCCTAAAGCTTTAAAATCGTTCCTTACGGAAAGTGACTAATGGTAACTGATAGCACCATAGTAGTGCTATGAAGTAGTCAGAGAAATGTAAAGCAACGCCTTTTTGCTATTCAACCTGGAAAAGTATGTGCCTCCTTCGGTGCACATATGATTGGCCCGAAAATTGATCAATGGGCTTTGCGACCTAGTCAGTCACCAATCAATAACAAGGGAGGGGGGCAAATGGGGATTCACTTTTGCCCCAACACTGAGGATAGTAATTAAACAAGGGGGAAAGTTGAAATAATCTCACCTCGAGTGTACATGGCGAGAAGATGGGTGTTGTAAATTCCCACCACATTGTTGACATTCAAATCGCACTCAATACCCGACAGTTGGTCACGGAACTTAAGGATCGGCACTTTGGCGCGAATCAGATTACAGCTCCTGATAAAACCTGGAAAAAGAAGCATAGAGAACAAAACATTAAAGTAACGTGTTCACGATTTAGCTTCCAAGCTGGTGCAGCACAGTCCTGCCCATGCCACTTCTATAACCAACCTCTCGGCCCCTCCCTACCCTCCCAATTACACCACGCCCTGCCAGATACGCAAGTGTTACGGCGGTGGCAGCGTTGGCAAATCCATTCTATAAGTGTGGCAACAATCCCACGCATAGCTAACTACACACCACATCCATTCTTACAACTACCCCAAGTTTGAGTTCTGCGAACCGACAACCAATGGAACTAGGTCGGACCTCAAAATATCCACTTCCATTACTTACTCCTAGCTGCCAATTACCCAGACAGACAGCCAGAGAACTGATAGCGCCAGGAACGGCAATCCAAATAATGAACACGAGTAAAACCTCAAGGTCATATACCTCTTCATATCGCAAGAGTGTGTTAGCAATTGCGTCCACTGTATTTATTTCAATTGTCAATTCTACCGTACCTTTAACCATAAACCTACCAAACGAACAAATAAACTGCATCTCTGAACCCTGAAATGCGTTCATAACGGCATTCATGCAACAGGACCATTATCACTCCGCCAACTGACCTAGTGGATGAAATTACAATAAATGCAGGACAGTGTTCAGAAAGAAAAATGCCCTTGACTCTAAGGGTCCAAGTGAGACATCTGAGGGCATAAAATGAACACATCCCTCTTCCCATGCATTCCTCTGTTACATCTACACGGTACCTACTTCATTGTTTAACTCATCGCCTGGAACGCACCTTCGACATAAAACCAGTTGCCAATATGCCTCAACCATCGTAGGTCAAGTCACTTCACTTCATCAGTGATAATACACAGCGAACCCAAATTGCGAATAGGCGTTTAATATTCACCTTATTCTTGGGGAAAACCGGTAAAACTAAGACTCACTACATTTGCGCAAAGGTGTCATAAGTTGGTGCAGCACCGCGGAGGCATCTCGTTTGCCTTGCAACTCCTGTGATGTAACTACAAGGCACAAATCGGTGTCGCTTTGATCCGACCCAAAGCCGTTGATTGAAGAGCCCACAATGAAGAGTTTCGAGTCTATGCCACGAGAAGAGTTCAATTAGAAACAAAAGGGAAGCAGAGGAGAGAAGAGATTACAAATACGATAATTAACTAATATCTGGACAAACGCATTCGGAATTACGACATACATATGGGATGGACAGGTGAATGAAACACTAACGTAAACATACTTTGGAAGACCGACGAAATGATTAAGTGGAGGGCATTTCTAAAATGAACTTTCTTTCCATAAGTTCCAGGAGATTGTCGATTTTCCAGGAAAAATTGCCATATTTGAAATGAAAGAGAATCGAGGTAGTTAAGTGCAGGATAGTTTCGTCCGGTCATAATTTTCGCAGACATTGTGGTCGCCACCACAGACATTGTTGGAATGAAGGCAGGGGTTTGCGTTGAAATCGAGGAGGTATTAGGTGGTGTTCGGGGCGTGCTACTGAGATCCACAGCATCTTCATCCTGTCTAGATTTTGCCTGCTGCTGGTGCTGTTGAGTGGGGATAGAAGATGCTACGGACACCATAGGAACGGAACAATTGAAGTTACATATGCTGAAAGGCCTCGACGACGTTGGTATCACTCTAGACGCAAGAGGGTGATGACAGATCGGTATCACGGACGCCGTAGCGGGTTGGTGAATTGGTAGATAGTTGGAACTGTTACTACTACAGCTTCCGCCTCCTCGTCGATGCTAAAATCAGGAATCGCTGGGTACTTACAGATGAAAAGGCCCCGTAAAGCATTCCGTATATGTCCAGAATACCTTGAATGGACAACTATGGTGTGAACCTGGTGAGCCGTGAACGATATAGTCGTTCATAAAATGAGAGGAGGCCGCGACAGAAGGTGGCGTGTTGCGATGCTGATTGAAGTGGGGTTGGTAGTGGCGATACGACAGATGAGAGCGACTGGACGCCTGACGGCGATGGTACTGCTGTCGCCGGGAGGAACAGGGCTGCTCAAACCCTGCCTCCAAATTTCTACGGTTATTCTTCGAATTAGACGTTGTGTATTTACTGTGAACAAAAGCAAACGGACTTCAACTCAGACTACTGAATTACGAAAGAGCAAAACACCCCTAACTAATCGCATTTAATTATACAAAGGATCCATCCTGTAAGTAAGTAAGTGAAACTGCATACATATATTTATGCTAAAAATTATATTGCGAGGCAACAGCACATTGTTTTGAGAACAAATACAAAACGTGGCGCCACACCAACACCCCGAATTAACTGATTAGTTATTCTGCGTCGGTTGCATATAATGAAAAAGTGCAAATAAGCTCAGATGAGGTTAGACTTACTCTAAAACTTATTACTTTTATTAATTTGTAGTACTGATGCACACAATGTAGCGATGGCATGCTGACACTTCAATTAGGAAAATTCTTAAACATCACTGTTGACTATACTAAAAACAAAGCATATATTTTACCAATGTATGATTATTTTGCCGTCAGTTTATGCTATTACAAAGTCACTTTGCGATGCCACTTTTTCGCATCCAATGGTAGGCATAAAACCCTAGCGTCTATCGAACGCATGAGATGACAAAGTTAGAACTTCTTTGCTGGTATAGCTGTGTTTATTGACGCCTCTTTAGATGCACATGTGGCCTAGGACTATACTGCGCCAAAGTTTCATGGAATAAATGGATGTCATTGACGTGTGGGTTGGCTGAGAGCTTGTTAGCATCGCCCGCTGGCCATAAGGAAGAGTGCCAGTGCAATCACCTCAGGAGGATGAAATGCCTGCCTGATTAGGCACACAGCTAAACGAATCATCACAGCTCTACAACAGAGCAACAATTCAAAGAGGTTGTCGCACTATCACATTTTACTAATGATATTTAAGTGGAGATATACGGCTCGCACTTCAACATCTCTTGGCAAACGGGATCACCTCAAGATTCAAAGCCTGCGTGGCCTCATAGTGTACATCTGACAGCCACTTTGATACCAATTGGTGTCAAATCTACAAATCATTCACATTAGATGGAAGGAATTTGTAGGTATTTCCGCAGATCAAAAGAATGGGCGGTATCGTAGAGGCTACAATAAAAAACCAAAGAATTATTCATAAGCAGAGCAGAAAGGTCTACACGAGAGCTGCTGAATGAGCAAGCAACAGATCTTCACTCCTGTAACTATAACTCTTCCCCTAAGGCGTCCTTTCGCAATTCTTCTCTGTCAGCGTACCGGTTTCTATCAAAATCAACCCCTAAAGCGCATAAGAAAGCACCGCTAGTCCACATCATACAGCCTCTTAGCGCATGAAAACTCCTGTTGAAACGGCCCACCACTTTGGCGACGGCTGATTTAACACGTAAGCGTGCAGCAACATCCCAACCAGAGCGAGTGCCTGATGTCCGCTGGCACCACAATCACCACGTAGGTCTCATGATGCAGACGAGGTCACACAGCGTAGAGGAGGAAGTCAACCCTGTCCACGGTGAAGGTTGCGCAACCCATCACCTCGAGCGGTAGTACAAATGAGCGGCGTGAAGTCAGGCTCCGACGACAGATTGGCCCAAAGGTGACGTGTGACTGTCTTTACAGAACAAAAGAGTAAAACTAAAGCTAGGAATAATCAGAAGGTGTCTAGTGTCACTTTTAGCCAGGTGTCCCCTCCCACCCTTACCCCGGTCAACTACGAGGAAGGGTTTTCACTCAATTGCTTCAAATACTGATTCACGCGGGAGTCATGGATACTTAACGAGTGGATGGAAGCGGAATACGTGGAGTACAGATGGAAAAGTCACGGTGGATGGTGACGCAACTAAGGAGGGACGTATGAATGCGTGGATTTAGGACGAATATCACCGGCATCAGAACCATCCATACATTTCGAATGCAGCAATCTCCAATCCACCTATGTGAGATCTAATAAGCCTCGAACTAGCTTGTCCTTCCATCCACCCACCCGTCCATCCTCCCCATTATTTGCCCACATTTTATGTAACCAAGTTTTGGCTCTTTCCAGTTTAAGAAGAGCAGCCAACTTCTCGTACAACCTTTCCACATCAGGGGAATGAATGGCGGCAGTCCCCTAGTAGTATCCTCGTTTTTGCCTCATCATTTATTACGAATTCACAGGAGGAAGAAGAGCAACGGCGACGACGCTCAAGAGGAAACCACGATGTGAAACGGTCATCGGTAGTAACCACGGCCACATGGACATCTCTCTGCCACCTCTTTCATGTGTGCCAACAACAACGGCACTAGCCACAAACGTAATAACAAAGTCACGTCAGACGCCTTCCCACGGCAAGAAGAAAGCGCCGAGGTGGAGCAGTGGACTGCTATCTTCGACAACTTCTACAACCGCAGTGATTTAACCAAGCAACTTTTCCAATGCTTGGTTAGAGAAATGAAAATGTCTCTCCACTTACCACTTTTAAAACACATTCATTAAGGAAACGGCGATTACTCGGTACAGTGCAATCTCCACTTCCAGTTTAAGTAAGTTTACCCACAACCCATGGTGGGACAGAACTCGCTCCCTACTTATTTTGTCAACAGTAGTAAATGCACCTTTTTAATTTGCCTGATCGGGACTGTTTTGTTACATGACATCTGAAACACCGAGCTTATTGCAAAGCATGCGTAATGAAACTATCAATCGTCTCCGAGACGAATGAGATTAACGAAAGTGTCACAGACGTTTGGAATGAAATATTCAGTCGATGATAAGCGAATTGAATGGCAAGTTAGGGGTCAAGTTCTTTGTCCCCAGCCCAGTGAATGCGCTCGTTTGAATTGTCAACCAAATGAAGCGCACCACTTGTGGAGTGCCATTTTGTATTATTGTGCCATTCCGCCTTTGTCTGGCACGTTGAGAAATTAGTTTAAACGTCCATTTGGTAGCCAAATTATGCTCGCAGAGAAGGGTTGTACAAAAGTGGAAGTAGAAGCGGTGTCATGGCCCAAATAGATTCAATAATGTGAGTAGGCGATTGAAAAGGTGACTGTAGGGGGAAGAATGGACGTCCAAGGTGGAGGCCGAGAAGAGACATTCGCCGCGGCGCATTCACTGTTCCAGCCCTTCCACAGCACCGAATGCCAAACGGCAAAGTGCTACTGGTGGAAAGCGGGAACCCATTCCAAGGAAGATGCGGATGAATGACCAAGAGCAGTAATGCTGGAGAAGCTTTTGTGATAAAGGGACTTAAATCCTGACCTATTGGACAATGTAGCGGTAATGTGATGTGTCACGCTCTCAAAGTGACAAAAGCCGAAGGTGAGGAGGTGTGTTATTCAAGGCCCCGGTCACATCGCATCAACCAGTAAGCCACTTTAGGCTGCCATGGAACAGACATGAGGACATGTCATCATGGCATTTTAAGCAGCATGACTCCATGTGAGGTGCTAGATGGAATCCAAATGCTACTTCTGCTCAGCAGTGTTTCATTGACCTGGAAGGAACTCGGACTTGAACATGTGAAGACGAGTTGGGGGAATTCGTCACCCAGTGGATAAAACTGGATGGAAGAGCAGTATTTTCCCAACAAAAGTGAGTTCGTGCGGGAACTGTCTGCATAGGAATCGCAAACGCTTCACCACTGCTCTGCGCCAACACCAACCTACATTTATTGTAGAAGGAAGGGTTAAAAATGCGGAAAAGTAAATGTGAGAAGTAAATTGCTGCAGTAAAACGGTTCTTCTGGGAAGTGTGGATACAATCACAAATTACATTCAAGTCGAAGGTTAATCATTCCACTCTTGCAAACATCATTCCATCCTCCTTATTCTCAAATAATATTTGTTGATGAATGACTACAGGTTTACCAATGCCAATGGTTTCCAAGGCTTGAATAAAGCTATTCTATTCTCGGCACAAATTACTCATAATCTTGACAATTCAAAAGACGATCCAATCCGAAATCACATCTAAATCAGTGAAAATAGCTCCACAAAAGAAAATATAGTCTACTAATGGGTAATCGGTGGGATACACTCAAACTGCAAGCATGTCTAAGTCGTAACAGACTACCCATTGCTACTTATATAAATAAGTAGCAAAGCCCACATGAGGTATGGATGTTCCCCATTTGGGGATGTATATGTTGCAATTACTTGGGGGTCCTCTTCATCTTAGTCAACCACTTATCCGATAAGTTGGCCAAATCAGGACTGACCTACTGCAAATCGGTTGATATCTTTAACTTGATTTCGAAGTCAGCTGATTTGGCGATGGCGCTTGGATTGTTGTCAAGATTAG